TTTTTATGGAAAAGAAAACTAAGTTGATGGAAGTTAAAACAAACAAACAAACAAAMAAAAAAAAAAACCACGAACAAAATTAGGTCAGGGCCTTTAATTGCTTAGTGATTTGTTTCCAAAGAATACAGTACAGAAGGGGGAGGGTGGGTCAAACCTGGCAAAGATGACAATCATGTGATTAAAGGTATCAGTACTTCACCTCTTGGGTCTCCCTCCCTAAAATCCACCACCCAAGTTTCCTGATGGGAAAAATATCACAAATCTCAGTTAAGGGGCATTCTATAAAATTTCTGACTAAGACTTAATACTGTTAGTCATCAAAAATGAAAAAAGTTAGTTGTGACAAATGTAACCTAGTAATGTAAGAAGTTAACAATAGGGGAAACTGGGTGAAGTATACTCTGTATACTGTCTTGCAATTTTCCCATAAATGTAAAACTATTTCTCTTGAGAATAAATGATGATATACATTATTTTATTTGGTGGCAAGACAGTATTCTCATATGATGGAAATAACGGTTATGAATACAATAGATAGACCCAGGTATCACACAAGTCTATAGCATTATGAAATTAGATAGACCAAAACAAATAAATGCCCCTAAATTCTAGTTTCCCAAAGCATTCTTATTTCTGAACACTTCAATTATGGACTCATAAAAATTAGTTAACTCTGTCACCTCTTCATTTCCCTACATCTTTACTACAGATCATGTTTACCTTAATATCTCCCACTCATCTTATATTCAACTAACTAAACTCACCATCTTCTTGATAATGAACACCTTCCAAATCTCCCTTGCAATTATTCATTTTCCCTTCAATAGTTCTCTTTCCAATTCCCCTCCATTCCAGTTAGTCCTACATATACTGCAGTCAAACAAGCCTTCCTCAAATAAGGATTTTATGCTAGGCATGGTGGCACATGCCTGCCATCCCAGCAACTCACAACTTGTAGAACTGACGAGGATGATTCCAAGTTCCAGGCCAGGCTGGGCAACTAATCAATGCCTTGACTCAAAATAAAGCTTAAAAATGGTTGGGATGTAGCTCAGTGGTAGAATGTCACTAGGTTCAATCCCAATACCACAAAAGGGGTGGGGTGTTTATGTCATTCTCCAGATGATGATGATGATGATGATTTTGGTACCAAACCATATTTAAACTCCGAAGCAACGTTTTCAAGACCATCCATAGTTATTCATTTTTACCCTTCACTTGTAAACACAGTTTTTTTTAAGTCCTCACACCCTAAGTTCTATTATCCCTGTATACAGAAAATTATTACATTCTTACTAAGCATATAACATGTCTGAGAAAATAAGTCTCCTTTAAGTCATCAAAGACCTTATAATCCAGCTGGGGTGATAAAATTTAAAATATAACAAAGTATATGAGAATTTATTTTGTTAATACTATATTCTCAGTTCCTTATAACAGGGCCTGGCATATGATAAATCCTCAAAAATATTTATTAAATGAAAACAAAGCAGTATAGAATTCTATATTCCAAAAGAATTACATTCTATCAGAAAAGGGAAAGAATTTTCAGTTAGAGAGATGAATGTGGGTCTAAAAGTTCTATGATTCTAAGGTTCAGAGGGCAGTCAAGATTTCAGCCAGGCCTCAAAGATTAAGTAGATCTTCAGTAGTCAAGAGGATATATACATGTGGATTTGCAACAGAAAAATGTTACATCAGTTTAATTATAAAGAAGTAAGATTGTTATACCACAATGAGGTAGTGAATAATAAACAGTTTCTGTAGGTTAGTGGGAGAAGACTGGAAACAAAGTTTGAAAGGTCTTGAGAAGAAGCCTGATATTTATGCTTGATATAAGGGATGTGTTCGTTTGAATGATACAATCTGCAAGATTAATGGGGGTAACATGAAAGTTCTACTTGAGAAAGCAAAAAGCCTTCCCTTATCTACTCAAACCTTCTAAGGTCTTGCTCTCCTTTTAACTCATAACAGCACCTGACTGAATCACACAGTTCTACTTCTAACTATATCTTCTCACAGTGTAAACTTGTTTTCCAAGTGTACTAATGTTTTTTAACCTAAGAACAAGGATCAAATCTAGACCTCTTTTTTCTTCCATAAGTAATCAAGAAAGTATAGGGGTCTCAAGACTACTTTTGGAGTACCATTTTTGCATTTATACAAAACCCAGTCACTAACATAACAACAACCAAAAAGCTAAGGAAATTAAGTTGGGTTTGGTAATACCTATTCCCAGCAACTTGGAAAGCTGAGACAGGAGGACTGCAAATTGCCAAGCCTGAAACTGTCTCAAAATAAAATTTTAAAAGGCTGGGGATGTAGCTCAGAGGAAGAGCACTTCTTGGTTCAATTTTCAGTAACCAAGGGCCAGGATAGCCTACCAGCAGAGGGGTACGACCAACAAGTACTAAGCAATAAGGTGCCAAAAGAATAAGTCCTTTTTGGTTGGTATTTTTTTTTAAGTTTCATTTTGATAGTCAAATCTCATAAACTAATGATATAAATTAGTTACCCTACAGCATGATTTCAGGGCTCCCTACTGATCTCATCATCTCATTTACTTTTCTATCTCAACTAAGCACTGGTCTCAGTGGTCAGTATATACATTTATTTTTCAATTGTACTTTCTTTTCTGCACTGACACCTATGGTACCTTTTCAATATTTTCCCCTATTAACATGACTGAGTACAATTGTTAAGTAGCAATTAAAATTCAAATAAATAGTGTTGCTATGACTCTTGACACAATTCTTTTACAGATTTAAATATTTCCTGTTAATTAGCATTTTTTTTTTTTTAGGAAGACTGATTCAAATAAAAACTTGTTACAGAAATAATACAAATCCATCAAAACATTCACAAAATGAAACCCCATGCATTAGTAAGTACTAAGGACTGTACTTAATTCAAAATTTTCCCCAATCTCCAAAAGTTAACTTCTGACTTTTTTGAAGGATGGGAGGTAATGGGAATTGGACCTTGGGAGCTACACCCCCAGGTCCTTTTTATTTTTATTTTTGTTTTGAGACAGGGTATCACTAAGTTCTTAGGGCCTGGCTAAATTGCTGGGAGCTAGCTTTGAAATTGCAATCCACCTGCCTCAGTTTTCCAGGTCACTGGGATTACAGGCATGCGCCACTGTGCCCAGCTATCTTCAACTCTTTGACCTTTCCCTTTTATATATTCTAAAAATCAAATTTCATTCCCTTGAAATAAAATCTGTTTATGTTAAGGTTCATATTAATATTTTTTTCAAAAGTTTAAGAAACTGCATATACACAAATCAAACTAGTATCTATTTTATCCCTAAAAAAAAAGTATTTTCGCTGTAATTTTATGCATTTCAGGTCATAATTTATATGTAAAACGAGAAAAATTGATATTTTTCTAAAACCACACACACAAAAACCACCCAAATGTGATTATTTCTGATTACAAAGTCAGTCATTAAGGGTTTTGAAATTCAGATTTTTTTTTCTCAGAGTCGGGAAATTCCATAATGCACTATTACTTCCCATTACTCTGATACCTAACACTGCTAACATTTTAAAAGATAAATCATCAAAACGACGTAAGACGGCAAAAATGTCAACACACACCTTTTCAGGACTGCAAAAGAAACATTTAAGTCTTAAGAGTCGAATGATACTTATACAGACTTGAATGATTCCTCTTTTTCCTCTTCCCCAACTCAAAATGCACCAAGATAAATCTGTATGTGAAGCTACAGCAGTTTCAAAACCCCTTGGCTACCAGAGAAGCCTCAGCCCCTAGCGCCGCTAGGGCACTCTATAGCACTCAGCCGGCCACGTGGCTGTCACAATCGGAAGGAAGAGAGGAGAAACAGCATCAACTAACCTGAAAATAAATAACCTCACTCCTCCTCGCACATCAGAGTAGAGGTAGAAGGGGAAAAAAGTCTATTATTTCTTTGCACGCTAAGACTTTTTTCCTCGTGAAGGGAAAACGAAGTACTAGGACTGTGTTAATGCGACTTTAAAGCAGAAATCAAGTGCAAGAAGATCCCTAGAATGCGGCTTTCCACGCAACTGGCTACCCTAACTCCCCGGAGCTGCAAAGGGAACAGAGGCATTTTGCAAGGGGGAAATGGGGGTGGAGTTAAAGAAGAGGCGAGCACCGAGGGCTACGCACCTGGACTGCTTTCCCTCAGCTCCCACTGTTCTGGGTTCCAAGCAGGCTGCTACTGCACAGGGGCAAACTCTTAAGGCTGATGGGCCTCTCCCACCACAGATCTCTTCCTCTGCCTGGAAAGAGTGGACCAAAGGGCAGAGGCAACCATGGCCCCAAAGGGGGCGGTGAACAGGAAGTGTGCATACTGCAGCGCTAAAACACTTAACTCCCAACACGCCAACAGTTACCCTCGGAGGCGCCCCGGGCGCCCGCTGGAGGAGGGACAAGAGGGTGCCCGGGTCCAACATCCCGACATCCGGGACCCACGCCCGTCCATCCAACGCACCGAAGCCCGAAGTTCGCGCCCGGCCGCCTCCCGGGGCACTACTTCGCGTGGCCCAGCCAGTCCCGCCTGGGCCGGGCGAGGACTCCACGCCCGGCACGTCTCGTTCCACTCGGAGCCGGGAAACAGCGTTGCAAAGGCTCCCGAAGGGCTTGCGGTACTTCCCCAACAGCAGATCGCCCCGCGGAAGAGCCCTCGGCGTCCTCGGAGCTATCCCCCAGTCTGCTGGGAGCCGACACTCGTGTCGCGGTTTCCGCCGCGACACTCCCTCCGGGCGATCATTACCTCTCAGGAAAAACTCCTAACTCCTCACGGGGCCAGACTTCCCTCAGTTCGACACCCCCCGGGAGCCACATGCGATCCAAGCCGCGTGCTGGGGACACCCCCGCGCCGGCGCCAATTCTTCACGGGACGAAAATGTCCGGGCGCGTCACGGGACAGCCGCCTCCGCGACCCACGCCCGGCGCCGGCCGCACGCGCTGCCTCAGCGCCCGGGAGCCGCGCCGCTCCGCCCGGGACTCACCGTCAGCTCTGCCGCCGCAGCGGGGAAGCGAGGGATGGGCCGGGAAAGACACAATATGGCAGAGCACCGCAGCTGCTCCCTGTGGCTTCCAGCAGCCGCCTCCGGGAAGACGCGGCAACAAGCAGGCAGCGGCAGCTGCGGTGGCGGCCGCGGCAGCACCACATCCCCCTCCGGCTCGCTTCCTCCCCCTCCTCCCCCCGCCCCACTGCCATGGCAACGCGGCGCCTAGGCAATTGGCCCCGCCCCCTTTTCCGTCCCCGCCTCCCGCGACCCCCACAGAGAGGGCTTGGCCCTTCCCTCTCCGTCCCCTCCCACCTCCTACTGAAGGGACGACTCGGTGACCGGAGCGCAGGGTGACCAGAATGGCAGGTGGTGTTGGCATGAAATGCGGCGTCCACAAGGGCGGGGCTCGCAGGCAAGGAAGGGCGGAGAGGCTGTGGGCCGGTGCGGAATTCGGGCCGAACCCGGGCTGGGAAGGCGGGAAAATGGAAAGGTCTCGCCTGTCCCGGGAAGGACCTATAGGAGCGCAGCGGAGGCGCGGCGCGGCTGCTGAGTGGACGAGCGGGCGCGGGGCGGGGCGAGGGTGGCCGCCTGGGCTGGTCGACCCGGGATGCCAGTGCTCTGCTAGCGATGACTGCCCTGTACTGCCCGAGGTTCTGTCATTTCCCCAAGAGCTTTCCTCCATTGGCCAAGCCTCAAAAGCGCTTTAGGGACCATAAAGCATGGCTATAAATTTAAAGTAGCGTTACCCTCACTTGAGTAAAATTTTGTAGAAACTAAGCTCCGCGAGCTTGTGGTGGGGGAAAAAATGGACTCTGGAACCAGACCCAAAATTAGTAAGAATTGCATTTACTGAGCGCTCACTAAGTGCTACCGACAGTGATAGGAACTTTACATGCATTGTCATAACCTTAACGCAAACTTAACATTCTTCCAGATAAAACAGGAGTATGCAGTTAAAATTGAAATTCAGATAAATGTATCAAAAAATTCTAATATAGGAACTTTCCATTTGGGACATACTTTCTGGTGATTTTGGTCTTTATTAAGTCTACCAACCCTGTACTAACTCATGAATTCTCACTTTACAGATGAGGAATTAAAGCTTAGAAAAATAGCCGGTCAAATACATAATAAGAAGCAGACCAAAGCCGGGCGTTATTGCGCATGCCTGTAATAGGGGTGGGGAGACGACTGGGGAGGCTCGGGAGGGAGCATGGCAAGTTCAAGGCCACTCTCAGCAATTTAATGAGGCCCTAAGCAATATAGTGAGATCCTGTCTCAAAATTAAAAAAAAAAAAAAAAAAAAAAAAAAAAAAAAAAAAAAAAAAAAAAAAAAAAAGACTGGTGAGGTAGCTCAGTGATAAAGCACCCCTGGGTTCACCCTCCAGTACAAAAAAAAAAAAAAAAAAAAAAAGCAGCAGCAGAACTAAAACTCCATTTACTGCTATCATTATGATTCTGATAATTAAATCTCTGAATTTCTATACCTACAACTTAAAACGCTTGAGTAGTGATAACCTCTCTCACAAAGGTATTGAGTAGATTAAAAGAAAAGGATATGACACCTAAGTAGATGTTCAATAGAGTTCATTTCCTTCCTGAACAAGATGTTAACTAGATATTCACTATGTGCCAGGCTTTGAGTATCAAGTGAGCTGAATATGAAACAAGCTGCCTGAAGAAAATAAAACAGGTCAAGCCTTAGGGATAATGAATATTGAAGAATTATAGGCATCAGGATATACAAAAATAAATGGGAGTATTTGATCCTTTCATTACATAGATGAATACACTTACATGATTTGTCCAAGGTCATCTACTAGTTCTGTGTATTTTCCCTTACACTGTCCTGGAGAGCTTCACAGCTGTGTTCACAGGGAGAGGCTACAAGGCACAGTGCACTTCAGTTGGAGCCAGAGTTGTTGCCAATTCTCCCTTCAGAGCAATTGCTATTGTCCCCTCATATGGACAAAATGATACCAGTTCCTGGAAGAAGAGTATAGAAGAGAGGGAACTGAGGAAAGAAGGAAGGAAAGATTGAGAGAACCCAGCTTCTAAAAGGCCACATGCTCCTCGTACCTGGTTTGTTTTATCTCTGCTGGTCATTGCTGTGGGGGCCACTAACATAATATAGGTCTTCATCTCCTTACAGATATATACTAATATATACCTGATATACAAAATTAGTATATATTTCCCTCAACTCGTACTTGATATACATTTCATGTATATCAGGTATATATTAGTATATATTTCCCTCAACTCGAACTCAAGTGGCTAAGTACTCTTCCTCAACTCTAAAAGAATCACAGAATTTCAGAGCTGAAATACATCATCCAGGATCTCAATCTATTATGGATTAGAAAATAAATCCAGAATTTGTAGAACTCATTAAAGGTCAATAGATGAATCTATTGTACCCTTACTAAATTCTCTCTGTTGGTCTTCTTCACTGACTAATCAATCAAACCCAGAGATGCTGGGCACTTTTATTTTATTTTGACTGAGGATTGAACACAGGGGTGCTTATACCAGTGAACTACATTCTCATTCTCTCTAAATTGCTGAATCTCTCCCTAAGTACCTGAGGCTAACCTTGAACTTTCAATCTTCCTTGCTCAGCCTCCTAAATAGCTGGGATTACACACAGCACCACTGTGCCTGGCTCATTGCACACATTTAAATACTATCTGTAGGTAAAGCTCAAGTCTCTACACCAATGTGTTACACTCTTAGTTTAAAGTCCAGGGATACTTGTATTCCTAGAAGCTATTTTAGAGGACTTTGAACATCTGTCAAGGAGAAGAGCCTATTAAAATTAATGATGATTCAGAGTTAAGTAACTTTCCAGGAGTTTATAAAAATAATAAGGCTAGGAAGACAGAACTTATCTCTTTAGGAAAAAGAGAATCCTGGCATTCAGGATCTCTTATGAAGCTTTATTCTTCTTTCTCCAAAAGACTTCAAAGAAACATATTCAATGGTAAATATTACTGAAAGACAAATACATTAGAAAATATATTATTTAAAATTCCCTCATATTTAGGCTGAAAAGTAGTAAGAACTCAAATATGTGTCTATGTCTTCAGTGCATTTATCATTGGTAATGCTACATGTATTTAACAAAGACTGTTTTAACTAGAGTGTGATCATGAATGTATAGCTCTAAAAATAACCAGTTTATGAATAAGGAATCTAGACTTAAGCCCCATAAGGATAAGGACCATATTTTTCATCTGAATAGTCTAATTTCATAGGACAACTTCTTGATATAGAGGTGATATGCAATAATACTTGTCAATAAAAGAAATAACTTCCCTCAAATTATATGATACCAGGACGGGGATAAAATGTTCCTAAGTATTAGCCTACCACTTGTGCTAAAAAGTGAGAATTAAAAATAAAAGCCTAGGGGCTTGGGGATGTGGCTCAAGCGGTAGCGCGCCCATCTGGCATGCGCACGGCCCGGGTTGGATCCTCAGCACCACATACAAAGATGTTATGTCCGCCAATAACTAAAAAATAAATATTAAAATTCCCCCCCCTCTCCCCTCACTCTCTCTTTAAAAAAAAATTAAAAAATAAATAAATAAAAGTCTAATTTCCCCCTTAGGGATCTTTTTCAATGTACTTCTTAAAAGCAACCACTTATATGTAATAATATCTACATTTCTATAAACCCTGGTATTGACAGTAATTTAGAGCAATCCTCCTGTTGAGAAACAGAAAAAGAAAAACTCAACAAAAATATTTAAAATGTCAGCTTAAAGGCATTGGAGAGCTAATAACTTAATGAGGAATTATGAGGCCATTACCTGAGGAATGGTGGAGATCCAAGGAAATGTACTTGTCCATTCCAAACAGTTGATGAGGGAATGAACAGAAATGAGGAACAGAGATTAATGTTCAGGGCATGTTATGGGGAAAGAAGAAGAACCCTATAGAATCTACTTTGTTTGGGGCTAGGAATCCAAACAACTACACTCTAAAAGTAAAGGGGCTACAGCTCAGTTTTGAATCTTCTCAACCCTGAATTTAGATAGGGTAATTCCTTTGAGCTAATGCCCAAGCACTTGGCAGAGCAAACTAAACTCCTCCTCTGTGCAATAAAATGCATATTCTAGACTTCAAATAACTTTTTTTTTCAAATAACTTCTTTTTTTTTTTTTTTTTTTTTTTGAGACTGGCTCTCACTAAATTGCTGAAGTTGGTCTGGAACTTGTGATCCTCCTGTCTCAGCCTCCTAAGTCACTGAGATTACAGGTATGTACCACCAGGCCTGGCTAGTAAACTTCAAATAATTTCTACAATTTTGCAAATACAATGTCTAGTACACAATAAAAAAAAATCAGTCATGCAAGGAAATAAAAATAACAGAGCCCTGCATGGTGGTGTACACCTGTAATCTCTGCAACATTGGAAGCTGAGGCAGGAGGATTGAGGCCAGCTAGGGCAATTTAGTGAGACCCTGTTCAAAATAAAAAAAGGGTTAGGGATGTAGCTCAGGGATAAAGCACCCCTGGATTCAATTCCCAATACATGGAGTGGGAGGAGAAAGAATGAAAGAGAAAAGAAGGAGAAATAGCAGAGAACAAGAACAGACACTAAAAGTGATTCAGATAGTGAAATTGTCATGCCTAGGTTTTGTTTTGGTTTGGTTTGGTACCAGGGATTGAACCCAGGGCATTTAACCACTGAGCAACATCCCTAACACCTTTTATTTTTTATTTTGAGACAGGATCTTGCTAAGTTGCTTAGGGCCTCTCTAAATTGCTGAGGCCAGTTTTGAACTTGTGATCCTCCTGCATCAGCCTGCTGAGCTGCTGGGATTATAGGCATGTCCTGCTCATGCCCAGATTTTAAAATGACAATGCTCACTATGTTCAAATAAGTAAAACACAAGATTAAACATTTAGTCAAACAAATAGAAATATGAAAAAAAATCACTAACTGAAAATAAGGACTCAATAATATGTATAACAGCATATTAGGCACAGATAAAGACAGAATTAGTGAACTAAAAGATAAGTCAAAAGAAAACATTCAAAATGAAGCACAAAAAGGGAAAAGGATAGAAAATACAGAACACAGGGAAAATATGTAGAAGGTACAGTGAGAAAATTTAAGGTGCGTGAAAATAAGTAG